AGCCTCGAGACTGATGAGAAAGATATTGCAATGTCGGTTGATCAAGGGTAACAGGCAGTGCCTTGACCGGTGGCAGCGGGTGGCTGCTCAACAATGTCCAAATACAGCCGGTTCCCCAGTCCGAATGTGACGTGAAAATTCGATTTGACTGCTCGAGATGTCGTTGCATCAACGAGTCCGATACCACTCGGCAATGGCCTTTCCCTGGTGGGCGGAACTAGTCAAGATCAAAGGTAGGGAAGACCAAAAAGGGAACGAGTTGGCCACTCGGATGGATGCTGTGCATATCGCGTCTCCCCTCCCCTGTCGCCACTCGTGGACGAGCAATGCGTAAGCAACAAGCCCTGAAGTGAGACAACGAGCATTTCCTTTCACAGCTGGAGGGCGTCTTTTTTCTTCTTCTTGTGCGTGTGAGCGATTCAGTCGTACGACCAAAAAAGCAAGGGGGAATTCTGTCAGTAAACGATCCGACACAAGATGTCATCGGTGGGGCCGCCAACTTCTTGCCCATCATCTGAGATCTCTGATTGATCAGGACCAACTTTCGGAAGCTGGAAGAGACAGAAGGCAAGGTAGACGTTATGTGAGATCTGACTGCGGATCTGACAGAACAGAGAAACGTGTGAACCTTGACGCCAGAGACCAATAGCACCTTGGCTCGAGAAATGTGCCCTCTTCAGCCGGACATGAACAATGCCCTGGTCAAGTTGTCGGCTAATGACTCTTCATCTCCTGCGTGCCGATGGATGACTTTGGGAGAGACTCGGAGCATGCCGTCAGGAGAAAAACTCACGACCTCTGCATTCCTTCCTGCATCATGAGCTGAGAATACCTGCACAAATCTCGTTATGTCGGCAGCTGCAATATAGTTTGAAGGCCAGTCGGCGGGAAGAGGGCATGGATGGATAGTGATGCCCGCGCAATTGAGAGGGAAAATGCCTGGTCCCAGGTCAAGGTGAGCAGCGGGCGAGCGGGGGAGTCCCATGCACTCTCCCACCGAGGGGAGCCAATGAACAGAGATGAGAGGGACAAAAGAAGCAATATGCTCCCCACCCTCCAAGGGTCCGGTGGAGGGAAGAGACCGGGGCCAAAGGGACTTGTTGCGGAAAGCCCACATCCACCTCATCCCCATGTTGGCCAACACCGCGAGTCGTGCTGGAGGAGTCAAGGTGCTTTTGCGCGTAAGCACCAAGCACCAACCGACGGGCCATGCGCCGTGAACCGTCTCGGTGCGGTACAGCAACTATTCATGACCTCAGTGAGTCGGGAATCGTCTCGGGCTCATTGGCTCATCTGTTCCACTGACTCGGACCCGTGTTTCAATCCAGTTCAGCATCGGATATCCGTACAATGAAATGTACAACAGGAGAGTCGGGAAGAGCAAGAGGTAATCAGACAATAGCCGGTTTGTCTTGTTTTCCGGGAGTTGTGCTCGTATAACATCCAAAACAAGGGCTGTGCCGTCATCACCGAGATTGATACCGGGCAATATTCGGCTTGACTGTAGCTGTAGCTGCAGCGATTGGAGAGTCTGGGGACTGGATGTGTTGAGTTCTCACATTTTGTCTCGATACCAAGTTCGCCGAACCCAAGTTGACAGGTCGCCCTCCCCAGACCAGATATCTCACGGGACGCTCCCTCAAGTCGCCATCGGATACTATAAGTCCTCCTTGAGACACGGGCCGAAGGTGTGTGCGCGATCATGGCGCATCGATACGTGACGGTTCGCAGGAGATAGTGGCAAGCAAGCCGTCATCTGCCCGTGTGTATGGATACAGTAGCTTAGGGACTGTAGCTAAAGCTTCGGGTAGTGCCTGTGCGCCCGGGACGCTGGGACGGCCGGGTTGAATGAGGCAAAGGCGGCGAGTTTGACATGACGAACCAGCAAATGATGTCCATCCCATCACCCTCTTGGCTGCATGAACGCGGCTGCTTGTCTAGCACGAGGTGCAAAGTCCCTGATTTCATGGACTCGACGTTGTGACTGGTATCTTCCGATACGAGGTCAAAGCTGGAAGCTCCATCAAAACCGAGGAACAAGACCACGGTATTCCGGTATACCCAGATCCATCTGATCAAAGTTTTCAAACTCCAGGTGAGTGCTGAAAATGACAGCTCTCTCGCAGTTCAGGTGGGGGGACCTTAAGAGCCGGCGCCTGTTGCAAGACGCGCCGCTGAATTTCGCATCCTGGCACAATCCACTTGGCCTTTGGCACAACCATCAGAGGTCAGATATCTCTCTCGAGGCCCTGCATTATGAGTTTTCCAGCGAGGCCGAATTCTGAACTGAACATTGGTGACTTCTCACTGCCTCACTGTGGCGGAGCTGCTGAGCCAAGGGCCTCCGCCGTCATTAACAGCAATGTCTCGCCAGCAGCGCCTCATGTTTGAGAAAGGTGAGCGACAGCAAACAAGGACCGAGAAGTCAGTCGTCCAGGGTCGCCATGGCCTAGGCAAGGCCCCAGAGCCTCACCCGGCGCCGCCAAAAGCAGACACTACCTAGGGAATCAAGAAAGGAAAGGAACCAACCCATGGGTACAGAGCCCTGGAGAGTTCGTCGTAGCACGCGTCGGGATTGCTTTTTCCCTGAACACGACAGACAAGGTCCTTCTAACAATCTCGGTGGGTTCGAGAGAAACCGAAGACATTGGGAACGGACGGCCCGGCCTTTGAGTTGCGGCCCAGTTGATGTTTGAGGCCAAAGGATCGCCATCTCCTTAAAGGATGGCTCATTCAGAGGCTGCGAGTAATAATGGTAGCCGAATAGGTTGTCAATGAAAGTTAGATTCTGATGGTCAAGTTGAGACGCCCGCTCTCTTGAATCGAATGCTTGGAAGGTTGCAACCTGAACCAGAGGCATGCGAGTGACAGCTGGTCGCGAATGGATCGAATCATGGCACACCCAGGGCTCAGAGGATAACCTGCTAACGGGTGTTCCGAAGGCCAGCTAGCCAGCCCATCCCGAACGCCCACTCCAGCGACCACAGCCACGAGCCGAGATGGTGTAACGGATGCAAAAAGCAAGCCATCCGCCGGTAGCTAGGGGAGGAATCGTGGGGAGAAAACAAGCCACGGGCTGGCCGCTTCGGGGAGGGGCCAGCGAGCCGTACTCCCTGCATCTAAGGGGACGATAGTTGGGTAGCTAGCTGGGCGCCGTCTGTAATATCAGATCCCCATCCGGAGTAGTAAGATCCGATAAGTGATGCATTTGCATGGCAAGGCCCCGATCAACGAGATGGATGGCTCGATGGGTGGTCGCCTTGTTGACTGCGCACATGATTAACTTTGTAGAGGGAGGAATAGAGAGGGAACAAGGGTCAAGGAACCAGGGTTAGAGGGAAACAAAGACGAGAGCGAGCATCAGCGGGCAAACCGGGTCTTGACCTGACAAGAGCTGACTTTCTAACGCGCCGCACAACCCCCCTCTCATCTCCTCCCCCAAAGAGGAGACAGAATGCATGTCGGTTGTTGTTTTGTTTACTCAAGTGCGAGCAAGGTTCCATCGGTTTCCTCACCTGGCCACTGACACAGAGATGCATGTAAAGCCCGGGAGCTATTTACGTAGGTAGCTGGCGTGAGAGTATCCGGTATGGCACTGGGACGCTTGCATGTCTCTTGCGCATGTCTCGCCGTTGCTGTCTCTCTCTCTCTCTCTCCCCAGAAGCAAAAGAAAGAAAGACATCCAAATCAATCCCAGCTGTGACGCATCGTGGGGAGCCAGGGTTGGCTAGACTCGCCAGGGTGTCGTGGAGGGTGCTGGGGGTGTTAGCGTGTCCAGGGAGGAGGTGATCAAGGGAGTGAACCCTCCAGCTCCATCCATTCAGAGAGAGGAGGGGAGTGAGGGCGTTAGCTCTGGGCGTGCTAAACCCGTGCCAAGTGGGACTTACTAGGGCGCCGTTATCCCTGCTCCCGCAGTAAGCCACTGATCCTCCTCCAACGTCTCGGCGCTGGGAGGTGGGCATTCCTGGGTGGGCGATGCTTAAAGTCTCCCTTGAGCCCCAGCATGTTTGAAGGTAATGAATGATGAAAAGAGAGAGAAGGATTTTGGCCTGTAGAGCATACATTGTTCCTTCTCGCTCCTTCCGAAATTCCAGCTTCTCACTTGCTTGACATCGGCAGTTGCAGTGATCCATTAGTGGCACTTGCCTAGCAGTGACAGAACGCCTCCCGATCTGAGCAGCTCCTGCCCCGTGCAACCAAACACCAACCCTCCTTCCCTTCCATTACTCGCCTTCATTGTGCCTGCCGTGCAACCAACTCTCACTCCTCCTCCTCCATTCCTGTGCTTGCACACCTCGCACACATACAATTCACTCCCTTTCTCACTTTCAACTTGGCATCTGAACCTCGATATCGGTTGCAAAGCGGATTGCAAGCACGACTTCGCACACAGCAGAGGACATAGGGCTCAGGGCATTTACACCACACGGCAACTTCGCAGCGGAAGAGGCAAGCGCAAAGCAACACAACCACGACACACCCGCGAGATACTACTCAAAGGAGCAGATCCAGGCCTCTTCGAAGGGCGCCCCTCGAGGCCACCCGTTGCCGTATCGTACAACAAACAGCTCCTCAACACCTCGTCAGGAATCACGCGCATCCCTCCTCGACGCCATCGTGGTGATGAACTGCTCTATCTGGTACTCTTCTTTCACTGCTGTTTGATACAGCCACTCCCGGACTCTGAGATATCTGGTGCGATTTCGTTTGAATTCCAGTCTCGACCATTCTTCCCTGATCTCGCCAAACACCAAATTTCCACCTCGAGTGGTTCTGATTCACTTCAAACGTGGCATTCACATACATCTCACCTTGAACCTCTTTCTCCCACCGCTCACAACACTCTATCGCCTCTCACTGGTACGTTGCAATGCAAAGCCTTTTCTTCGTGCACCTCCAAGCACGAGACTAGCCCTTGGCTCTCATTCACCTCGCTAACACCATCTCACCCAGGCACTCTGCGCAACCTCGTCTTTCTCGTTCATTGAACACAGCGCAATATGGCCAACGGCTTCGACCGCCTTGAGCGGTTTTTCGCCAAGAAGAAGACGCCAGCTGCTTCAGCTGATCAAGCCCAGCCTATGGCTCAAGCTGGTGCCTCTTCCACTATACCTCAGTTCCCCTCACCTTCCTTCATCCGCCCCAAGACGAGTAGAATGGCTGCTCGTGAGGAGGTGAGAAAGCAGCCATCCAGCAGAGTTCCTTCTTTCCCGACTCCCATCTCCCCTCAGCGGATGGATTTCAGCAACGGGCAGAGTCCGACGCGATCTTCAACCTCATCTCAGGCTCAATACTCCCCTCTCAAAACCACATTCATGCCCACGGAAACGGATTACTTTCTGGATGGCTTCGATGTCTATCAGTTCCCCCGTCCTCCCACTCATAGTGGGGAGACATCTACTCTCTCTTCCTGTGAGCCCAAGTCATCTCTCGAGGCACCCAGCGAGCGCAGCTTTCGACCCCGATCTTCGAGCAAGCGCCATGATGGTGTCTCTAGACTCGACACTCCTCCCTCCTCGGACCTCGATGATGATGACATCCGTGGCCCTCGGCATTTCCTCAACAAGGAGCTTCCGGCGCTTCCCCAAAGGAAACCTCCCACCCCGGACACTTCTCCAGAGCTCCGCCCAGTCCCAGACTCACAACTGAGAGTCTCTAAGTCGATTGATTTTCTCAACAAGGCGGTCTACAAGGACATTCGTCGCCAGCTGGCCGAATCCCTGGATCAGCAATCGCTTCGAAGAAGTGTCAGTCAGTCGAGCCTGGCACCTTCAACTAGCCGACTCTCCCTCAGCAGCTCCACATTGCGAGAGCCCGACTTTCACGAGTTTCTGAACTTGAGCGACGATGACATTGCCGAGTCGGGGCCTGAGGGCTTTGAAGACCTAGATAGTCCAACTTCCTCGACGGCCCCTTCTACTATCGATTCTCCTCGTCAATCTCTTCTCACCCTGACACCTCCTTATGCCAGCAAGCCTGCCACAGCTGCCGCATTCGAAGCCGCAAGGATCGCCAACCGCTACAACTTTGACTTCGTCTATGTTGTCAACCTCTGGCCTGGCCACGCTCGATCTCAAACCTCGGACTCGGATCGTGATGCGACTCCCCTTAACCCTTTGTCGTCGGGCAAGCAATCAAAGACCATGACTGGCCGCCTTCTCGCCGCTTATGGTCTGGAGAACGTCAAGTCCCCGTTCCAAATTTGCCCTTCCGCACATGGCAAGATCCTGCGCACTCCAGGCTGGACAGAATACCGACCTACAGAGATCCGGGACGATGAATTCGCCCGCGGGTATGCCTGCGCCTTTTACACGGGCGAGTACTCACGAGCGGGATCCGAAATTTCTCGATACTCAGCCTCTTCAGCACAATCTATGAAGACAGACCGTGGCATCGTCTTCGCCGCATATCGCACACCCCGGGTTGACGGAAGCATGGCCGGCCTCAGTTCCAGCCCTGCTGAGCTCGCGAGCATTCACAAGGATGCTGAAGCACTCGTGGAAATGCTTATCGATACCCACGTCGCGAACCGACTTCGCCAGCCTCAACACAAGTCTTACCACTCGGAAGAGACGGGACCAATGCCGAAGCAGAGGCTGGGGTCTATCTGAAACCAAACATAAATCACGACAGGTTCAACCATTTCGAGCCATGTTTACACGACTATATTTCTTTTGTTTCTTATTCAGGCAGGTGTTGAGTTCACTCAACATTACCCATCAACGGTTGTTTCACTTCATCGTTTATACGCAAGATACCTCAAGGGCGGCCTACAGTCAGTTTCCAATCTAATGATTCACAACAGCCATGGAGGGGCGTCACGGATTGTTTTTGACCGGCTATTTACGATGCCGGATGGGAGGAACGGATATGAGAAAAGTGCAATAGGGCACTACGACGGATATGTTTATGTACCTACTTCAATGGGGATCACCGGCATTGTGTGATTTATGAGCCATCAAGTGGCAATGTATGGATGAACAAATGAGGATGCTCAATGCATCATGGCCGGGGAATAGCCCTCTGTGCCCAACTGAATTGATGATGTCTTTTAAGACAAATATTACGTTGTCCATCTCTTCCGTGGTCAGTTTCATCTCCTTGCTGACGCGGGGACTGCTATTATGCACTAGGCTGGGACCTAGACGAATTATGATGAGTCTCTTCTTAGGATCACTAAAATTAAGATAAGGGATTACTATATTTTGATATGATTTTTGTAGAGGCTTGGATGATACTCTAATAATTGGGATATATACCTATGCTCCGGTAGTCCTCGCGTAAGCAAGGAGATACTGGTTACCAGATCAACATGCGAATCATGTCTTAAACACGACAATGTCCGAGGTTCTCACCAAGATCAGCATGTCTTGACTCAGATGCGGGTTTAAGGTACAGATGAATGATTGTGGGTAAATGACATATGAAATAAAACAGATGGTCCAAGTTTAGAAGCCTATTTGAGTCCGAGCAATCTCCAGAAACGGCCCTTTTCAACCCCGTCCTCTTCCTGAACGTTATTCTCCCTCACAACACTCAGAAACACTCGCTCGAGCGTGGCTCCACCGATGGAATAATACTCAACACCGACTTCGTCCTTGGAACGCTCTAGTAACTCGATAACCCGGGCAACGGGACTTGCGCCGGGAATAGTGAAGCGGACTTGACCGCCGAGCATGTCTCGTTCGAGCTGGGCGCCAGGCAGCGCTGCTAGGACCCAGCTCCGCACATGCTCCATCTCCTCTACGGTCGAGGTTGGTGCCGTCTTCAAGAGGAGACTCACGTAGTAGACGTTGCTGTAGCGCTTCCTCAGAGCCTGGGTGGTGCCGACGGCGAGAAGGCGTCGAGAGATGATGGCGGTGCGGGTGGCCAGGGTATCGGCTTCTTCCATGCTGTGCGTCTGTGCAGGTGTTAGCAAGGTGGACGTCTAAAAGATGCAAGAGTTTTACATACAGTGAGGAGCAAAGATCGGTTAGGGGTAATCTCTTGGATAATCTTCCAAAAGGCTCGCTTGGCAACGGCATCCATTGCAGACGTGGGCTCATCAAGAACAAGAACGGGAGGCTTGCCCATCAACGCAATAGCAAGACTGAGCTTTCTCTTGTTTCCTCCCGAGAGCTTCGAGCCAAGCGTGTGAGCGTGGGGGGTTAGGTTGAGTCGCTTCATGACGTGGTTGACGTTGCCCTTGACATCTCTGATGCCCTTGATACGTGCGTAAAAGGAGAGGTGGTCTTGGGTGCTCATGAGATCAAGGGCATCATACTGCGGGCACACTGTGGTACTAATTAGCTTTGGCTTGATCAAGAGTGATTGATGTGTTTGCTCATACCTCCAAGATACTTCTGTGCAGAACGAGTCCTTGCGTCTTCGCCACGAAGCAGGACCTTTCCAGAATCTGCCGACAGTTCAGACTGAATCAGATTGACAAGAGTTGACTTGCCAGCGCCATTGGGTCCAATCAATGCCATGACATCGCTCTGAGGCAGGCCAAAGCTAACATCGTCGACGGCCTTGTTGGAGCCAAAGGTCTTGCTCAAGTGAAGAGCTCGAAGAAGATCTGAATCGGAACCCTCCACTCGAAGCGCCTCAGCCTTGACTTCATCGCTGACCGCAGAACGAGCATCCTTCTCCGAGTCAAAAGAGGAGGTGGATTGACCCCCTTTTCGACGGAACAGAGCAATGTCACCTTCGATCCAGATAATGACGAGAAGCAGGACAATGATCTGAAGGACAAGATAGAGAATTGGGCCTCCATAGCCGTAGATCGATGCTGGAGGCGTAGGTTCACCATCTTTGCAGCCTACCTCTAGAACGTTGAGACCAATGAGTAGCGCCCTGAAGACGTTTCCGATGGGCAAGATGAGATATACGCCAAATGCGATACCAAGCGTCAGTTTATCCATCTGAGCCGCATCGGAGTATCCGGAGCCGACCTGCTGTCATCAGTATTTGTGTGAGCACTTGGTGTCCAGGAGACTTACAGCAAAGGAGATAGCAGCAATGCCGTACATCAGCACACTCACTCCAGCCATAGCCAGAAAGGATTTGAGCGGCCCAGAAACAAAATGAGAAATAACGTAGCCCAAGAGAATTGCTGCAAGACCATACAGCGCCAGGATGGGCAGCATTATCCATATTGGCCCGTTCCAGGTCAACTGGGTGCTTATAGTAGCTGTGACACCCGCGGATATCGCCAGGACAAATATAAAGTCAAACATGCCGTATGCCACCCAAAGGGGACCTCTTCGGACTCCGTTGGCATATTCAAGAGCTCGAACCTTGCGAGCCTTTTCGATAGCTGGGTAGAGAACAAAGGCGGCGGGGTAGATGGTCTGTAGCAAGGTGAAGAAGACGACGTAGACAACGCCAATATTGTTGGCAGACTGTACCTTGGTTAGCAGTTGTTGATCCAATAATAATGACGCCAAACTTACACGACGAGTCTCAGCAAAGCCTTGTTGAGAAGCAATAATCTCTACGTTGGACGTCATCTGGCTCCAGAGGCTCATCAACATCGGAGCGCTGGGGTTTCCAAAGGTATTTAGCCGATATGCAAGCACAGGAGATTCATTCCCAGATCCCATATACAATCCACCTGGCCCGGCACCTCTATGCTCAGAGATGTAGTCGATGAACGCCTTTCGGTCCTTAAGAAGAACTGGAAATCCTTCGTAGAGATCAGGGTTCACCTGCTCAACCTCGTAAAACCCCTCCTTGACAATATTGTACAACGTGTTATTCGCAGAAGGAGGAGCCAAGGCGAGAGTATCACAGCCGTAGTCGACGCAGTTCTGTGTCCAAGAGAGAGTAGGCGCTTGAGGGGGGTTGAGCTCCGGCTTGATCGTGGCGCAAGAAGGCTGCTTGTACTCTATGAGAAGATTCTTGAACTGAGGCGTGATGATGAGAGGAAGGGCCAGGACATAGAGGTACGGCCACCAGAACCTCCTAAGAACAGTGAATCGTTTCCGGAACAGGATCCTGACCTGAGCCCAGAAGCTGGTGGCCTCTCCAGGGGTCATCTCGAAACCGGATTCGGATGCTGCGGTGCGGTTCTCGGTGAGTTCAAGTTCCGGCTCATCTGCCACGCGAAGGAAGACATCCTCGACTTGGGGGCCGGAGATGGAGACATCTGTGACCCCCCTAGAGTCCAAGAAGGAGCAGAGCTCAGCGGCAGAACGGGAATCAGGGGTTGTGTAGATGATGCGGTCTTGGTGCATCGTCGTGGGATACTGAAGGTCGAGTCTGGGGGCCGAAGACGGCGCGAGAACCCTATATCCACCACCATGAAGGTTCTTCAGCTCTGCGGCAGCTCCCTGGCATCTCACTTTACCCTTGGACAGGATGACAATGTGGTCAGCGAGGACATCGACCTCGTCGAGGAAATGTGTTGTAAAGATGATACTCCGCTTAGACCGTTGCTGAAGTAGAATCTCCCAGATGACTCGGCGTGATAGAGGATCCAAGCCAGAGGTACACTCGTCGATAAGGCATACAGAAGAGTCGCCAACAAACATGCAGGCAAGTTGGAGCTTGCGCTTCTGGCCTCCACTGAGGGTTCCAGCCAAGCTGTTACGCTTGAGATCCAAGTCACAGGCCGTGATAAGTTCGTCGAGCTCCGTCGATGACTCACGTCCTGCCTTGATCTGGTTCCATAATTGCACATGCTCCGCAACAGTGAGCTCCTCCCAGAGAGTGTTCCGCTGGGGGCAGAGACCAATCTGCGAAGGGAGGGCATCAAGTCGAACCGATCCCTCCGTTGGCGTTATGAACCCAGACATCATATGTAACGTGGTCGTCTTTCCAGATCCATTTGGCCCAACAAGGCATAGAATCTGACCCCGGTGCCCCTGAATACTGACTCCATCAACAGCAGTAACAGGGCGTCGCTTTCCGCAGCAAAACATTCGCTCCAGAAAGTTGGGAACGAAGCGTTTCTTGAGGTCAAAGGTTGCAGCGACAACCCCTTCCACGGTTGCGGCGTTCCTAGCAAATGTTCTCTTGCGGAAGTCAATACCGTGCATGAAATGCTCAACCAGTATAGCTCCGATGGGGTACACGATAATGTGTATGGCGAGGAAGCCCAGCATCATCTGCTGTGTGACGTTGTAGGACTGGGAGTTGATACCAGCATCCTCAGGGGGGATCTGGTCAAGTACTGCACTTGTACTATTCAACTCCCAAAGGCACATCTGTTGCGTAAAGAAGACATGGTTCGAGCTGGGAAAGAATAACGAAAGAAGGAGAGCTCCAATAAACTGCGGCTTGGGATGGAGCTGAAAGCTGTATATCTGAGCTGCGACTGACAGGAGGAGAAAGGCACCCATGACATAGATGGCCGAGACTCGGGACTTGGTGAAGAAGGCGGCGGCGAAAACAGTAGAGCTGTTCACGGCCAAACCAAGAAGAATCTGCCATCCAATGATCATACCAAGACTTGAGGTAGGAAACATAAGATGTCCATATAGAGCACCAAAGGCAATGAAACAGGGAAGACACAGCACGTCAAAGACGATTAGCCAACTGAGCACACGAGCAGCAACTGCGCTGCCTCCACCCATGGCATCAACCAACTGTGACATGCCAGACTCTCGCTCCGCAGTAATGAGACCAGTGAAGCGGTATATGATGAAGAAGTAGCACGCAAAGAGGGCAAAGACGTAGACCTGACCGATGAGCTGGACTGAATCCTTCCGGTGCAGAAGGTCCTGCTCTTCCTGTGTCTCGGCCGTGAACATGAACACCTCTGGGACTTCAGTCGAGTTGGTGATAGCATTGTTGATGGCGAGTTGCAGCGGGAGGTAGAGGTTCTCCTGATCGCTCTTGTGCCCCTTGGCGTTGAAGTGTGTATCATCTCGAGCCGGGTCCGCGCGAATCACATACTGCCAGGTATGGTGGTCGCTCTGGCTATCCTTGACGGTGATATTGGTCAGGGGCGAGTCGATAAAGGTGACGGCAGCGTGGCAGTCGCTCACTCCGCGCAGGTTGGCGAGGCACACGGTCGTCAGGTAGGACTCGTCGTCGAGGAACAGCAGCTTATCCCTGTCGATGCCATTGGTGAAGGTGTTGACAACATGATCCACGTCTGGGCCGAGCCGCGGTGGCTTCACGACGACGAGTTTGCCGTGGATAGTTTCAGGGAGGCTCTTGATGGGGGCAGGAGAGGCGACGCCGAAGACATTCGAGGACGAGAGAAACGAAGGGATGGAACAGAGGACGGCGAGAATAGCGAGAGGAATTCCGTAGACGGAGAGGAGGAACCCGATGGGGTGTCTAACAACTGAAACGAGAAGATTCTTGTAAATGAGGGCACGAAGTTGACGAGCAAAGGCTCGTAGGTCAAAAAAGACCATGATGAGTTTACAAGAGACAGAAGAAGTGTGTCTCTTGGCAAAGTAGTTAGGTAACGAGTGAAGTTGCTGAATATGTTCCGATGGATAGAAGAAAGGCCAAGACACGCATCAGAAGATATATGCCAGTGTCCTCGGCGAGTAATTATCGTTGATCAAACAAACACGAACATGATCCCTGCAACCGGCCAAAGAGTGGAAGCATGTGTTGTAGCGAAAGTACGCGCAACACCATAGGCATATTGTCTGAAACGTCTCAGTGGTCGAAACAAACTTGGATCGTCATTATCATCATCTATTCAACGCCATGGATGCGGTTCAGGTCCATGGCCCCAGTCGTAGGTGTCAATCCCTCGTGTCCATCAACTCAGCCTTCTTGTTAGCGGGGAAGATCAAGCTAAGCAGGCGAGTTTATTCAGCCCAAATCGCGTTTCAAAGTTGCTCAGCCTTCCAGTTGACAAGGATGCCAATACGACCGACGCTCCTTTTAGCTTGGAGCGGCCGACTCTATTTCGGCCCACTCAGACGCCCAGACAGTGCCGAATGCCGACCCTCCATTCACGTCGTCTCATATGCGAGCGGCCGCCTCGTGTCGAGTTGTCTGTACATAGGTTAGCATCCATCTTGATCATCCTCAGTCATGCAGGCTCAAATTGCCGTTGGCAGAGCTAAGGCCCGTCCACGCAAGACAGGGCGCCACCACGAGGAACACGAGTGGCACGTAAAATAACATACCTAAAGGGTCGCGTCATGTGAGCTTCTAGAAGTTCGAGACCTTGGCAGTGTGGTCCCAATATACATGGAGATGCCTTTAATCGAAGGGAATTCTCCGCAAGGCTTGGCCTGCGCCTCTCTTCTTCATCTCCTGAGCGGCCGCGAGACTGCTTGGAACTTTGATACCACAGCAGTCGCCCCAACCCGTTCCGTCGTGTGCCACACCAGTGTGACTGTGACCAGAATGATCATGCTCGGCCTCCTCCTCTTCAAAGCCAGCCGCGTCTTCCTCGCTCATGCCGTCGGCCGCTGGCACCAATGACCCAAAGAGGAAATGCTGCATCACGGGCAGCTTGCCTAGTACCTCGGCGACAAACATGCGACGCATTCCTCCGTCGATCTTTGTCCACGACTTTGCCGACGAGATGTCGTCAAGCATGGGGCTGTGCCACCGCAGGCCCTTGACAGTCTTTGTGCTGTTGACAAAGCTGACCTGGCCGAGGTACATGTATTCCTCGCCAAACTCCTCCAATGTGAGGTCCTGGTGGATGGCGCGTGGGGTGATATACGGATGGTGCAGCAGTTGTGACGCACCAAACAGGAATGGGAGGAACTGATAATCATCAAGTCCCCAAACTCCATGAGATCCCGCCGGTTCCAAATAGTAGGTCATCTGAACAATACGCATCACGGCGAGATAGCGTACAAAGACACGCAGGACTAGGGGCTTGAAGTCGGATTTCTGTACCACCCCAAGCTGGTAAAGACAAAGGAGCCATATCATAAAGTTGAGCTCGTGTCCAGAGCCATAGTCGATACGGTTTCCGTTGCCGAAAGACTGGCAGAAATAAGTTGAGAGTTCGGTGATGGCTTCGTCGTTCTCCAGGCCAAGCTGTCGGTGCCATGCCGGGCTGTTCTTCTCCGCAAGGTCGAGGAATCCACGGAACGCCTTGTTTCCGAAACGTGAGCCGCCTTGCTCATTTGGTGGTGACTTGGCTACCAGCTGCTCTGCCTCGTCGAGTATGCTCAAAATGGTCTTGATAGGGCTGCTGAGATCGCTGTCGTGGACGGACGAGTTGGGGACGTCGACCACAGACTCTGCAAGACCAAAGACCCAACCCGTAATGAGCTTGCATGTCGGTGAGGACAAGAAAATATCATGATCTTGTCTTGACAGAATCCTGCGTGATGGCGTCTTGTAGGTCCAGTTGGACGTGTCGGGAGGTGCGGGAAGGGCGGGCGTCTCGGGTATGGGAGTTGGATTCCCTGGCGTTTGACGTCGCCTTCGCGGTTCGAGTTTGGGTAGCCGGTCTTTGAGACTTGGAATCGAGGATGCCGCGCCTTGAGCAGGCGCAGTCGAAGGAGCTTGCGAAGTCATTGCGTAGGCGTTTTCTAGATTGATAGGATAGATGTAGAGATAAAGGTTAGAAGCTTGCAGCTCCAGGGACCTCGAGAGAGGGAGGCTGTATGTCATCAACAGCCACCCCACTAGAAGGTGGCGAAGAAAAAAGCCAGGCATAAGAACATGTGACTTGTGCATTAGAGCTGTGTGAGTGCTCTATCCCGCTCGCCCCACTGTCCAGTTCTTTCTGACACCCTCGCCCACTTCGCACCGCTAACTGCAGCGCGGGGAGCAACTAACGTTAGGTGCCTGGAGCTCATCCAGACAAGGTTCTTGAGAGTGTCAGGAAATTTTCCAAACTCGGTTCTAACTAGGCCGTATCAACACCAACCACAATGGCCCCTTCTGCTGAACCGACAGCAGAGCTGTCACATTTGCCCAAGGCCGATGGATCTGCGACATTTTCTTACGGAGGATACACCATAGTGGCCGCTGTCAATGGCCCCGTTGAAGCTCAGCGACGAGACGAGAATGCCTTTGAGGCTCTCGTGGATGTCATTGTCCGACCCGCCGCTGGTGTAGGAGGTGAGATCCCCGACATGTTTCGGTTTCAAAACAATCCTTTCTCATGCACTTAATCATAGGAACCCGCGAGAGGCAGCTCGAGTCAATCTTACAGGCTGCCCTTAGGCAGCTCATCCCTGTGAGAGACTATCCTCGCTGTGTGATTCAGATCACTCTTCAGGTGGCCGAGACGCCAGAGAACGCATATGTCAACACCAAGCTATCTCAGTCGCAACTGGTAAGAAACAGGCCCTAACTTCATGCTGCAATGTGTCAAGTTGCTGACCCTTACCCTAGAACCTCCCAATCATTCCGGCACTTCTTCACTCGGCCATTCTATCACTCCTAAGCGCCGCCATCTCCCTCAAGGCTATTGGTGCAGCCACTGTCCTTGCCATCCCTGAGGAGGAAGGCAAGGATATTATTGTTGACCCTACTGCGGTTGAGGTTGACCACGCCAAGTCGGTTCATGCTCTCGGTTTCACTTCACACGATGAGCTGCTTCTGGCTGAGAGCGAGGGTTCATTTTCCCCTGACGAGTGGGCCAAAGTCCTCCAGCTTGGGCAGCGCATATGCTGCGAGCACCAACAACCCGGCTTCGATACAAGCATGGCGGGCAACGACCTGGAGTCGAAGAGCATGACGCAATTCATCCGATCCGTTATGGAGGCCAAGGTGGCAGAAGACCTATACTGGAAGTGACCGGCCGCATCTAGTACATAATGATCCGCTGGGTTTTTCCAACTTCTACTTGCCGCCAAGATTTGTACTGGCTAGTCCTAACTTAATAGAAACTCGGATGGCTGCAGCTGGCTGCAGTATGCCTTCAGGTTGATTGGGTCTGATCTGTGAATATCGTGAGAGGAAGCAGACTTTAACTAGTACAGACAAAGCGAGGCCAAGGAAGGAATAATCACCATATTCGAGAAAGTGTTGGCTACGCACAAATGGGATGTGACCTGACAGGAGAAGCCTTTCTTTCTTCTTTTCCACTTACCATCACCATCCAATCGCAAAATTTGCGCCTTTATTCTCTCCACACAGTTTCTTCCCACCCTGTTGGTTTCGTACCAGCCGTCCCAATGAGTGGTTTGTCAAGCTGACCCCCCGACTCCCTTGTGAGCTGATCCCCCTTTGACACATATTAGCCAATGGATAGGTTAGGATGAGGGTTATGGTTAGGGTGGGGTTAGGATAAGGGTTATGGTAGGTTAGGATTAGTCTTTGATTGGCTCAATCAAAGTGCAAAGGGGGTCAGATTGACTGTATACACCGTCGCAATGTCCATCACCCGTAGCAACGCGATTTTGAAGCTCTGCGATGCCGCCTGGGTTGTCTGACATCGTATTGTGGACCCGGTCGAGCTTCTTGAAGTTTGATTGAGCCATAACAAGGGCTTGAGGCTATAGGCTGAAAACTGTTGATCGCAAGTAGAGTTGCGAGAGCGACCCTGAACACCTGGAAGCTGGAGCGAGACCTCGAAGCAACCAAGGCAACGTTGCGATATGTTCGGGGTTGAGCTGGCTCAACAGGAGGAGCTTAATGAATCGCGACTCCAGATATACAAGGATTCCGACGAGATAGAGGACGAGACAGAGGAAGCGTGAGAAGGACGATAGCTAGAGCGTCTATGAGAAGTAGCAATACGCCGCTTGCGACGCTGCGCTTCTTCTTCAGCATTGAGGCCCTCCTTGAGGGCCACCATGGCTTTGTCTTGGGGACGACCTTTAGGCGAATCGATCACTGCTTTTAGAAGCCCGCAGATTTCCTGAATCTCCGCTGGCGGACTGGCCTACGAAATGTTAGACGGGATCAAAACAAAATACCTTTCTCGGTATCCTTCTTGGCCTTGGCCTGAGTTTGCTTCGCCAAAGGTTTGTCCTTAGCCATGGTGTTGTGGGCTTCGGAGCAGACAGTATGTGACGTGCGGCTCGTAGATATTGTCACTTGGGGTGAAACTTTCAAGTCATAACTGAGAAAGAAAATTATCAAGAGGTCGACGCCGCACAGGTTATCTTACAATGGCTTAAGTCATCATCCTTATACCCCCTTGCTTGCACGGGGACTGCTATTATACCATATCAAGTCAGCACATCCGATAGGAACTACGGGTCCTAAATGTCGATTCTTGTTCATTGGCTGGCTGCAAGGCAAGAGGACGAGAGGACTATAGGATGAAACCCAAGACAGGCACTAAAAAGGACTAAGAGCGCACATCCAGTAAAGAGACATAGAAGAGGTCTTGGGGGATCCGCGGTTCTTACCGGATGTGCTGAGTCGATACGGTACACTGAGCTGGGACCTAGATCGATTATGATTAATATCTTCTAAGGCTCATTAAATTAAGATAAGAGATTAATATATTCTTATATGATTTTTAGAG